CCCAGAGCACTTTAGCTTCTTCATTTTCTATTCCTTTGTCTGTTCTGTGGTCCCACCAGGTCTTGCTTGCAGGCAACTGGTATTTCTTGCAGATACTGCTGTCTGCTGTCACCAGTCCTCTCAAGAATAAGTATCCATTCAAAGCATGAATGAAGCTTTTCATAAATGCTCTACAGCAGCACCCAAATGTTTCACCATGAACCCCAAAAACGTAACTGAGAATAGCACTAAGATTAGCATGTTCTGTGACTGCAGCTGCTTGATCTTTAACTGACTCAGTTAAGCACATTGCATGCCATATGTAGTAAATGGATGTCAACCAGTTTCAGTCAGTAATCTAAATGTTTGGTTCTTTATTGAACAACTGAATAGCTAAGGCCTTCGTATGTGATTGACAGAGAGAGAGAAACACAGATACATACATATTTTATGCATCTGATGAAGGGAGCTGCAGCTTCCTTTTTAACAAAATGTGTTAGTCAGAAAAGGGGCTACCAGACTCCTCCTGATTTTAGTATTAGTTTTGTGCCTTTGAGTCTGTTTTTGACTCCAAGCCCCTGCAGTTTTCTTGGCAAGGTTTTTCAGAAGTGGTTTGCCATTGCCTCCTTCCGAGGGCTGAGCAAGAGTGACTGGCCCAAGGTCATTCAGCTGGCTTTGTGCCTAAGGCGGGACTAGAACTCCTGGTCTCCCATTTTCAAGCCTGATGCCTGAACCACTACACCAAACTCCCACCCTGATTTTATACATAGCCTATATTTACTCTAGTCCTTAGTGAGTATAGTCCAGATGTTTTAAAACTGAAAGGAATACAGATGTTGGCTTTAAAGTGATGAGGTCCAGTCATTTTATTCCTAGAATGTGTAGCATTCTTACACACTAAGGGATGTTAAATTTCTTTTTTCAATTTCTCATTTAAAAGAGTTTGCTGAAAAACAGCTCCACCTACAGGCTGATGAAAAGGAAGGCCACATGGAGAAGCAATTCTAATCTCTTTTTTAACAGAAGAGATACGTAAGTGTGAACAGTTCCCCTCTGTTCACGAACACATATATGTTTGTGCCTGTGTGCCTATGTACATTCCAAAACAGAATGCCATAATCAAAATGGGGAGGGGAATTTTGCTTTGGAAGAAAATACAGGTTCATCTGGAAATGAAATGTGAAAATAAAAAAAAATCAAAGTACAGTGGTACCTCGGGTTACGAACTTAATTCGTTCCGTGACTCTGGTCGCAGCCCGAATTGGTCGTAACCTGAAGAAAATTTCCCTATAAGGTTCAATGTAATTACCGTTAATCTGTTCTGGCGTGGAGGACAGGGAGGCGGCTATTGCTTGGAGGGAGAGTCCCCCTCCCTACGACCACGTGTCAGGGGCGGAAAATGGCCACGGACCACGTGTCAGGGGCAGAAAATGGCCGCGGGCCACGTGTCAGGGGCGGAAAATGGCCACGGACCACGTGTCAGGGGCAGAAAATGGCCGCGGGCCACGTGTCAGGGGCGGAAAATGGCCACGGACCACGTGTCAGGGGCAGAAAATGGCCGCGGGCCACGTGTCAGGGGCGGAAAATGGCCACGGACCACGTGTCAGGGGCAGAAAATGGCCGCGGGCCACGTGTCAGGGGCGGAAAAATGGCTGTGGACCGTGTCACGGGAGGGAAAATGGCCGTGGATCCAGTTCGTAACCTGAGGCGGAGTTCGCAAACCGAGGTAAATTTTTGCGGCCAGAGCTGGTCGTAACCCGAAATGTTCGTTAACAGAGGCGTTCGTAACCCGAGGTACCACTGTATGTATGTATATGTTTGTTTGTTTGTTTGTTTATTTATAGTATTTATATAGCCACCCATCTCACACAAAGTGACTTGGGTGGTGTACAACCATTAAAAAGAATAAATACATAAAAACAATTACAAATAAAAAACTATTAAAGCACACAAAATAAGAGGGGATAAAATTAATGAGGCATCGCAAAATCTGCCCGGTCCCCTGGGACCCCCAGGCCTGATCACAGAGCCAAGTCTTGAAGGACTTGCAGAATGTTAAGAGGGACGGAGCCAATCTCAGTTATATAAAACCTGCACTCAAAGATTTGCAAGTGTAATTCAGCACACTCCACACTTTACTTCTTTTGAACCAATAATTAATACCTCTGAAATCATACCATGACTTCTTAACATATACAAACCATCTAGTTCATTTCTTAGTATCCACTATAGCAGTGTTCCTCAACCTTGGCAACTTTAAGTTGTGTGGACTTCAACTCCCAGGATTCCCCAGCCAGCAAACCCTAACCCTAACCCTAACCCTAACCCAGCAAAGCTGGCTGGGGAATCCTGGGAGTTGAAGTCCACACACATCTTAAAGTTGCCAAGGCTGAGGAACACTGCACTATAGTATGGTTTACACTAAGGAGCAATATTTTACATATTGTGTAATATTTTAGCATAGTAACCAGGAATGTTTGACAACGAGGAATGAGGCGCCTCCTTTATGGCAAGTCATATTTTAACATTTCTCCCAAAACATCAGGTATGCTACCCATTAGTGTAACTCCATACACATCTGTGGCACTTTGTAACATAATTATTTTTACTCTGTTCCAACATCCTCTTTGTTATTCTGTTGTTCACACTACTGATCAGTGATTGATTCTCTGTTATGGCCCACCTCAGTAAAAACATTCACAACAACTGAATCTATTCTTGTGTATAATCTATTCTGAATCAAGAAAACAGGCCCCAGATTTATAAATGTATATTGAAAACCAGACAGAAGATTAATTTCTGCACGATGAAGAGTTTGTGATGAGAAGCTGAATATGGTCCTGCAACCTTGCTTAATTACAGTTTGCTTGCCTTTGATTTTTTTTCCTGCTTAATCTGACTCCATATATTAATACTGAGCTGGTAAGCCTTTTGAAAAGTCTTAAAAGTCTGTAAAAGTAAACTCTAAGCCAATTATCAACCTACTGGATATTAGCTGCCATGCTGCAAAACAGAGTTGCACTAGTCTTTTCAGATCTTAGAATTTGGTCCTGTTCTGCTCCATGAGGTGAAAATACATCTTGAAATCCATTCAACAGGCAGCTTAACTCATACTATTCCGGGTATTTTTTACAGCCCAAAATAAGTGTGGAGTCCTTAGTGCTTGGCTGTTTGGTTGCAGACGTTTCATTACCCAACTAAGTAATATCATAAACATCACTGGGTAATGAAACGTCTGCAAGCAAACAGCCAAGCTCAGAGAGCACCAAGGACTTCATAGTTCAGCCCTGAGCAACATATATTCTCTTCTGTCAAAATAAGTGAATGACCTGCATGGTCAAATTGGCCTTGTTTATAGGCCAAGCTAAAAGAATTGACTCACACTACAATTAGAGGGGTCTGCAAATTCCAAGTTTCCTCCCAGTGTTGAAACGGGAATCACTTTAATACTTCTGAAATCATATCAGAGTCATTTGGAAGTGAGCACCCAAATCAATCGATCAGTTAATCAAAGAAACAAAATACTATGACAAACCAGGAGACTGTGAGTTCTAGTCCTGCCTTCGACATGGAGCCAGCTGGGTGACCTTGGCCAGTCACTCTCTCTCGGCCCTAGGAAGCAGGCAATGGCAAACCACTTCCGAAATCCTGCCAAGAAAACTGCAGGGACTTGTCCAGGCAGTCGCCAGGAGTCAACACGGACTCAGTGGCGCATAACACACACACACCATCTTAACCTTTACAGGCCATCTAGTTTATCTGTCAGTAACCATCATGGTTAACACTAAGGAGCATTATCTCCTTAGACTTTGCTCCATGTGTTACATCACACAATGTGTATATAAAAGGGGTGGAGGCTTGTGCCACAACGTTACAATGCTTCTTCCATCATTTACCCCCTTGCAAGTGCCCCTAGCTACACTGGAAATGCAAACAAAGATATTTCAGTTTCATACAGATGCTGATCTCAAAGATTGATGTGTTGGTGAGGCAGTAAGAAATCTAAGGAATGCTGAGATAAAAGGGATGGTGATTTTTAACTGCTTTAACAGCCTGCTGATGCCTGGGGATCACATCTTCTAATGATGAAATTCCCAGGCATCCCATCCTTGTAGGAAACTCTGGGATCTCTCTAGATTGGGTTCCACCCAGGCTTGGCTAAGCACCAGAGGATTTTAGGATTTATGTGGCTATTAAGTGAATGGTTACAACCATTAAAATGGATAGGGCAATCAATGTTAGGCCTGGGAAATAGATTAAAAGAGCTGCAGTGGTGTGCAGAATAGCACAAGAGACTTGGAGCAGAACACTCCCCATCTGGAATTTGAAGAATTCCATCTCTTATACATTGTATGCCATGGTGATTACAACTTAACATGAATAACTTATATTACTACCATCTAACATGAAAATTTGACCATGCATATCATTATACTGCAATTCTCACTATAGTAAACAGTACACAACTTGCTAAGGTAAGCAAATAGAAGGCCTACTTACATAACGTATCTTTCTTCATTGACTATAAGAAGCATGGCTTTGGTGATTGGTCTGATGAAATCTTTGTGGTGTCTTGTCTTATAGTCTTGACTTCAACCCTGCAAGCTTTTCTACCAGCCCTTGGCAAGGTCTTGATGGGATTAGGCTCTGATGGGTTCAACAGGACTTGGGTCAGGTGCCTGCCTGTACGATGGAGGCTAATTTTCTTGTGGCAAGGAGAGAGCTCTTGCAAGGAATGTACTGGGTGACTGGATCAAGAGGAAAGAGAAGAAGAAAGTTGTGGCTGGATGCAGTTGATTTCCTAACTTTTGCCTTTAATTTCTTTGGCTTTATGCATTGTACATAATTACCCTGAAAGGAAATAGCATGAAGGCTGTGCACATCTATATTAAGTATCTATGTAGCATTTGATCTCTCCAACCACCTGTGACTTCTGATCAGGATCAAGCTCGTAACCAAAGATGGTGGACCTGAATGTGAAGACAGTAATGAGTTAAACCAAACAAACAGTCTTAAGCTTTTAGCTTGCTGATACATAATGCAGTGTTACAATAGGACAGTGTGAGCTCTGTTTCCTATTTATCCTGGCAATAGAACTGGGATCCTTCATTAATTGGAGAACTCCACTCCTCCAAAGCTATAAATATGTCATCTTGGAAATATAGCAATATGCATACAATGTCCCAGTTGGTGGAACTCAAAGGGATTATATGAATTTCATCTGAACTTTTCTACTGACAGCACCACAAGATGAGACCACAAACACCTATTTGTTCACAGTGTAATCCCAAGCATTGGTTTCACTGGAACCTTTTCCATAGCAAGTATATCTTGGGTTATGGCCTTAATAAGAAAAGAGAAAGCTGTAGCATCTTCCTCTAATTTGCTGCGGCTATTACATATGCAGCATGCAAATAAAAAAGAGATTCACATCCAAGATAAAAGTAAATGAAAATAAGAATGGAACAAAGGTGGATCAAATATTGCTAATTCAAGCAAGAACACACACACAGATATACCCTGCAAACAGATTTCTTGTTCCTTGTCTTTTAGGCATTTTGTATGTCTCAAAATCTGAATTTTAGGTAGAACCCAGCAAAATAGATTTTGAAATCATATGTCTTGTCTCACAGCAATATTCTCAATATGAGTGACCACATAAGAAATTCTTAAAGTGGTTCAACTGTTGAGATACATTCTGTGGCCACCCTGCACAAACAAGGCTGAACTTTTTGCTTTATCCACAGAATTTAGAGACAACAATCCAACAGCTATGAGTTAAGAAAACACGCTGGGCATTGGCACGCAAAGTGTCATAGTAGACATCCCACTTCGCTGCAGGGTTCCCATGTCCAAAAAAATGTAGACATTTATCATGCAAATGTCCTCAGGCAGCCTCAACAGATGTGCCATTCTGTAGATGGTTTTCTTTGTTTCCTAATTCTTGCTGAAATTTAGGTCAGAGTGAAAAAACTTAATCTACAAACACAGTTGTGGTGTTTGTCATAGAATTCCTGAAGTCATATATATGAATGGAAAATAAAGTGGAACTATAAATACAGAAGGTATTGCTTAGCGATGCCTTGTAAATTTTTATATTACTTTAAAGGCAAACAGATGTTTTCCAATAAAAACATATTTTCTTCCCTTTCTTTTACTTTTATTGTTCCTTTGTTAATTTAAAATGCTGGTATTTTTTTGATGGTAGGGTGGAGAGACAAGAGTTCCTAAGGGTTTTTAGTCAGAAATATAAATAGATTAAAACAAAAATGCACAGATGAAGTACTACTTTAAAATGGAAGAGGATGAAGGAGAAGAATATATAGGTTGTACATCTTATAAAAACACTGCGGAGGGTTCTTACACAGGGGGGAAATTTATGACTTTTAACTGGAACAACTCATGTTGACAGAAGTTCACCAAGTTGTGAATTCTACAGGATCCTTATTCTGCTCTGTTTCAAGAGTGATTAAAATGGCCATAGAGCCACCTTCTTCTCTTTGATCTTCAGAATCATCTTGTGAAGTTGGTTACCCTGAGAGGGGATTAATTCCAACTCATCTGTTATGACTGCCATTACCAATTTATGTTTTGGAACCCAAGAACACCAGAAGTTCTTATCAGCTGCAAAAGATATATGGGGAAGAGTCTCAGAGGGGATTTCTTAGGTGGATTCCAGTATGTGCAGCTGGTAGAGGTGTTGGGCAGTGAAGGTTTTTTTTTGGGGGGGGGGGGCATCAAAATTAGCCTGGGTCTATTGACATATTGGTAAATTTCCACTGAGTTTACCTATGAAAAACGGCAGCATTGAGTCCTTAACTGGGAAGCTGGTATTTCCCACAATGCCACTATACAAGCCTGTATTAGAGACACAAATTAGGAAATGGTGGCCCACCGAGATGTAAAAGGAGCCCTGAAGCAAGTATCAGCACAAAGTCTTATCAGAGCTCTGGGTCCCTGCAGCTTACCTGAGATTGCAGTTCAGTGTCTCTGGTCCTGGTGGGATGGGAGATGAAACGCTTGTAGGAGGGAAAGATGTTTAGAAGTGACCTGTCAGAAGCTGGTTCAGCCAAAATGAAGGAAAACAAGAAGGCTGAAAGGGAAAAGACATGCTGCAATCAGCGTGGGAGGTAGAAGACAGAATTCCTCAACCATTCTTGGAAGCTCCAGTAATGGGGTCAGCTAGAGAAGAACAAGGGATGTACAGAAAGAGCCAAACTACATGTTGCACAAATGTGTATAATGAAGCCTCAGCAGGGTTTTTTTTTTAATTAAATAAACAAATAAATAAAGACCTGGCCAGCAGCCTGTGGAATTTACACATCTATTTTTTCACTGTGATTTTCCTTCCAGCTATTTTTGTCTTTGGGGGTTCCAAATGCAGGATCTTGCTTGTGAACACTCTCCTGACATCCTCTAAGGGAAAACATTTCAGGGACCATTCTGAGCAGCAGAACAGTTCATGACAGAAAGAATTAAATCTGTCCCCAAACACACACGTACTTAAAATTGCATTCCTCTGAGGCTGCTTTTCATTTAGAAAATAAACCCATGGCATGCATTGCTGTGTAGTGTAATATGTAGTTTGGCCTTAATCATCTCTCTTCTCATCTCTAAGCTATGACAGCAGGGAAAGTTGGATACTGCCTTTCTCTGCAACCAGTTTTTCTTCTTTTCTATATATAGCACTTATGCAGAGGACAGTCATAACAAAATGATGTGGCCTGTGAACTTGGGGTATCTGGGAACTGGGTTGGGCCACAGCTTCTAGGATGGTAAGAGTCCAAAGCTATGAAGCTGGTTACAGATCCTTGCAGAGCTAGAGATGAGGCATGGCATATGCAGAAGTCTGAATCTATCCCAAAAGGGGCACAAAGAAGGGACACAACATCTCTCTGGTTGACCTTGGATCAGTCACTTTTCCTGTCTTCTGGGGTTGCTGTTGTGGGGGAAAATTGGAGGGAGGAATCCTATGTACACACTGCCTTGAGCTCCTGAAAAAAAGTTGGGATATAACTCTCATAAATAGTGTTTTAAAAGGTTATTTAAAATGTTATACAGAAACAAGCAGGTTCTGTCCCAGTTCAAAGATGGAAGACCAGCCTGCTTTCAGTGCAAAAGATCCCAGATTTCTCTAGTAAATTTGGGCAATATGGAGGGCAATCTCTCGAGATCCCAGATGGTATGTTTAATATTCAGCAGCTAGGAAATGGAAATAGGAAGTGGAAGGAAAAAGGTACATTGTCTTCAGTAGGGTCAACACATATATTGCTAATACCAAGCCTCTTCCAATAATAAAGAAGGCACATCTACTACCCCTTTTCAGCAACATCACCACATCATGATCATGGTCTCATGGCCTCAGGCTACCAATTTAAAAAATCATTTTGAAAAGCACAGAGAAAGGTATTTGCCCTTGGTCTATTGCCAATTGAGATGGATACTTACGCATAGCTAAAATAGCGGAGACATATCAGCCAAAAGGAGATAGAGGGAACACACCTGTTTCCATAAAAGCTGTTCAACATTTGGATGGGAAACTACCAGGAAACGTCAGGGCTGTAGCTAGACTGGAAATACAGAAAATATGCCAGGGGAAGGCAATTCCTGCTGCAGAAAACTTACATGGACACGGACATAAAATTACCAGGAGCTCAGCCTAGCTTGAGGGAGTCTTTCTTTTATGACTAAATGACCTGTATATGTTGCTGATAGATGACATCTTCATGGTACGTGCCTTATCTTCTTACCTTTAACCCAACTTGGACAGACAGCTCTTCAAGCAGAGCATCCTTCCTCAGTTTGGCAAACTCCAGATGTATTGGAATTGCAATTTCAAGAATCTCAGAGGAAATGCTTATTCGGGGATGGGAGGCGCTACAGTATGTGTGCTCATACCTAAAAAGCAAGAAAAAATGCATTTATCGCAAATCAAAACATATCGCCAGCTAGATATGGTGTAAGATCAATGCCTATCTTGGTAAATAGGAATTTCTGCCATAAGGAGACTTCACAAAATCACTGTGTAAGCAAATGGTAATTTTAAGAACTGTGCACCCATTGGCTTCCAAAGAAGCTCGTATTTTCATTTTGCAAAATTTCTGTGAAAGTGTTAAGCACATTTATGAGAACCATGCAAGCACTCCAATCATACATTTACACAGAGTTGGCTTCAGCCACCAGTGTCCTACAATAGATGACACCAATCTGTAATTGTTAACATGCCAGAAGTGCTAAATTATTAAATGCAAGAGGAGTAATCATATTAATTGTATTAATTAATACATGTATTAATTAATCTGAGTTTTAATTAAATATAGATGAAATCAAGTTTAATTTTTGTTCTGGATTTCCTGCCTTTGATTCTACTCAAAGGCCCAATGTGGCACTGAAGATGAAAAGTGCAACTCCATGTTAGGTCTTTGAAGTCAGAAAATATTTATAGTTTGGAGACGTAGGTGGTACGTTCAACTCTTCATTCTTCTGCTTCTTGAACATCTCCTTGATAGGTGTCTCTTGGTGGTGGTGATGGGGACAAGTGATAGAAGGTAAGGAGGAGGAGGAAAATTTCTAGTGTTCATTTCATCCTAGTTATTTATTGAATAGATTTTATTCTCATAACAGCCTTCTGAGATACAGTAGGTTAGATGGGAAGATGCAGATTGTCCCCAAATAAGCCAGTGAACTTCATGGCTGTGGGGGGATTCAAACCTAAATATCTTCCATTCTGGTGTGATACTCTAACCACTATATCACACTATGCCACAAGCTCTTAGCTTTATTCCACTTTTTTTGTTTTTCACTGCAGCTAAGACTGTAAGTGAAAGCTGTGCTTAGCCTGAGAACAAAACACCCACAGTGATTCCTAATGCCTACATGCACTCCATTTTTTCAGACTACTCTCTGATGGGTTTTCTAGAGCCTTTTCCCCCCGCCCCATTTAATTTTAATACTTCCAAACCAAGGAATTATAAATCTCAGATTAAATTGTTGAAATACTACATATATGGAAGTTACTTATTTCCTTGTGCTAAACATCTTGCAGTTGTACCAACTAATTTTGGGGTTTGAAAAGCCGATCTGGCATTGAGTTCTATTTCTGAATTTCCTGATGATGTCCACATTCTGCAGAAGAAAAGACCAATTGGAAACATTAAAATGGGCTTCATTTGGTAGGGAAGATTTTTTTTCCTAGGATGTGTAAATTAAATTTAACACTGAAAGTAGTTGCCATTCCTTGGGGGATGGGGTGTCTTCAAAACTCTATATGCCATATTGATTTTCTGATCTTTTATTCCATTTTCCACATCTTGTTACTCTCATTTCAAGCACTTGGCCTTTCTCTGGCACAGTAATGTCCGCTTTTCACACCGCAATTACCTTGGATTGTATTTTCATGGCTGGCTTTCTTTCAGCTGGTTTTAAGAAGAATCTGAACTCCATAACATTCTAATTCCAGTCAATCTTTCCAACCACAATTTTTAAGTAAATTTAACATGAGACCAAACAAACCAGATCCCCAAGTAGGAGAAACAGATACAGTCCAGTACTTGTGCCAGCCTGTACTCAAGGATTTGACCCAAGACGTTTCACCTATACAAAACGCTGTTCCTTCTATGCTTGCAAGCTGTGGTTTCTCCTAGACAAATTGGGCTATTTTTTTTCTTCCCTGGTGCCACACACTGGGTGGATCGTGTAAATATCACTGCTGTGCATAGAAACTGGCACAAATGCATACTTGTGTGTGTCTCAGAAATTAATAAACAGAAATCATTTTTGTCATATATAAATAAATAGCATCTATGCACTCAACATAATAGTTTTTTCTCATTGAGGTGATCCTTTATAGTCAAAGTATAATGGTCGATTGCCCATAATTTCTAAGGTATATACACTGATAGAGTATCAGAAAGTGATTCAGTTCCTGATGCTATCTGTCAGGTTTATTTTTGTAAGGAAAATTAAAATACATTTGTTATCAGATCATTGGTATTTAAATATGTGGAAAATTGTTCTGAATAAAAAAACAAGTGTCTCAACAAAAAGCATAGAAAAACTACCAATGAAGGATAAATTTATTCAAATCTGGTCACCACTGATACAGGTAGTCCCTGGGTTAAGAACGCCCGGTTTATGGAGGACCCATAGTTAAGAACGGAGCCTATTGTAGCAAAATTTGAGTTAAATACACAATGATTTGAGTGAAATACACAATGGTTTGAGCTAATTACGCAATACTACTTATACAGTATTATGCAGTAATACTGTTCTGGCTTACATACAAATTCGACTTAAGGACAGACCTTGGGAACAGACCTTGTTCTTAAACTGGGGACTAGCTGTATTGCGAATGTCTCTCCTAATAGCTTACTTTGATCTGTACAAATGTTGTTCAGGAAAGAGATATTCAATTCAAATATTTAAAATGTCAGTATTTCTCTTTAAAATTACGTATGTGTTCATATCTTGGTAGCTCCCTAGTTCCGTTTTCTTTTTAAACTGCTTCTGCTAAGTCCCTAATATATATTTCTTTTTAACCTAGTTACGTTTTAAATGTTTTGGTCTTGATGTTTTGTCAGTTCAATAAAAAAGCAAAGAAAATAAATTAGAATAGAAATATAGGCTAAAGTCCTAAATATTCTAGGAAAAGTCCTGTATTACTCAGACTTGTTTTTGAGAAAACATGAGTGAGATTGGATTGACTGACAGAAGTAACCCTTTACATATGGCCAAGCTACAACTCTCAGAGTTCAGCTGGCATGATAAATAATAAGGGATTATGGAAGTTTATCATGATCTGGAGATCCAGATTCTCCGTCCCTGTACTAGGTTGTGATCCAGATGGAAAAAGTAGGTTTGGGACGGAGAGGTTCTATCAGGATCAAAGGAAATCCCAGCCCTTGCCTCCTGTGATCTCAGTCTCACATGGTGTCCCACAGCTCTTTGCTTTAGTATCACACAAATAACCTTAGAATTGATTTCTTATAGGTTTAATAAATTTGATTTGATGAAGTTTTGCAATATGTGTTAGTTCCATAGCTGCTGGGCTCATAGTACCCTGAAGGAACCACCAATAATGCCTGTCCTGGGCCTCTTTAATTTCCTTCTACTTCTGAGAAGAACCAAGCAACAGTACCTGCTTTCTATTTAAATCATGCACAATGTTCTTGGTGTAAAGCAATGGCTAGATGGCAGCAAGGAATTGCATTTTCTGAACAACTACCATCTAGCGGTTGCCTGGATTTATGCAACAAAAATCTGGTAGCCCTATGAGATACTCAAGTTTTTGACTGGCTGTCCTTGTTACCAAAGGAGGCCTCACTGGACTTTGAATTGGAGGAGGAGGAGGAGAAGGGGGAAGAAGGAGAAGGAGGGGGGGGTGAGGCAGGAAAGGAAGGCAGGCAGGCAGGCAGGCAGGCAGGCAGGTGGGAAGCAGGCAGGCAGGCAGGCAGGCAGGCAGAAGGGAAGGGAAGGGAAGGGAAGGGAAGGGAAGGGAA